ACAGTGGTGCCAACAAAAGCGTTATAGGTGGTGAGCTAGCAAAACAAATAATTTCAGCTAAGCCGTTTAATAAATTTAAATCGGTAGTGAGAACCGCTGATGGGCAATCGCAATATGTTGCAGGCACGATACACATTCCCCTGACTTATAACTCAATTAGTGACAACTTTGAATTCCTGATAGTACCTTCGATAAAGCATGAAGTTATATGCGGAATGGATTTTTGGCAACATTTTGGCATTTCGATCAAGCAAACAGTTGCGATCAACGAAATTAACTGTGAACCGGAAGAACACTCGAATAATGTGAGATTGTCCGATTTACAAAAATCAAAATTGCAGAAAGTAATAGACTTTTTTCCATCATTCGAGAACGAGGGCTTAGGATTAACTAGGTTGTTAGAGCACAATATCGACACATCCAATGCAAAGGCAATAAAGCAACGATTCTATCCACTTTCACCAGCTAAAGAAAAACTTTTATGTGAAGAAATCGACCGCATGATTAAAATGGATGTCATCGAAGAGGCTCCTTCATCGCCTTGGTCTTCTCCAGTTATCTTGCACATCAAGCCTGGCAAGGTACGATTTTGTCTCGATGCAAGGAAATTGAATGCAGTCACGGTGAAGGACGCATACCCCATCCCTATAATGGATGGATTGCTGAGTCGACTTCCACCCGTACACTGCATATCCAAAATTGACCTCAAAGATGCCTTTTGGCAGATCTGTTTAGATCAAGAATCTCGTGCCAAAACTGCTTTTACCGTTCCGAATCGTCCGCTATATCAATTCAAGAGGATGCCTTTTGGATTGTCAAACGCTCCACAAACCATGTGCCGATTAATGGACTTGGTTATTCCCTATCAATTAAAATCGCATGTGTTAGTCTACCTCGATGACCTGCTTGTTTTGTCAAACAACTTCGAAGAACATCTTCTGCATTTATCCGAAGTAGCTACCCAATTGCGTAAGGCTGGATTAACAATAAACGTTCAGAAAAGTCAATTCTGCCTGAAAACTGTAGACTACCTTGGTTACCTGGTGGGTGAAGGTACTCTTCAAATAAATCCAAACAAAATCGCAGCCGTGAGCGAATTTCCGGTTCCGAAGACCCAAAAACAGCTCCGAAGATTTCTTGGTATGACTGGTTGGTACCAGCGGTTCATATCCAACTATTCCACAGTCATTTTCCATCTGACGGAACAACTACGTGGCAAAACACTAAGTTGGAACGATAATGCCCAAGAAGCTTTCGAAAACATCAAGGCCAAGTTATGCTCTGCTCCTTGCCTTGTTCATCCCAATTACGACAAACCATTCATTTTGCAGTGTGATGCTTCACTACATGGAGTGGGTGCAGTTCTAGCTCAATGCGACGATTCCGGTTGTGAGCGTCCCATAGCGTTCATGTCCAAAAAGCTAAACAAAGCCCAGCGTAACTATACAGTTACGGAACTCGAATGCATGGCTGTAGTGTTAGCAATTAAAAAGTTCAGAATGTACATTGACGGTCATAGCTTTAAGGTAGTAACCGATCACTCAAGTCTTCGATGGCTAATGAACCAATCGGATCTAAGCGGTAGATTGGCAAGATGGGCTATCAAGCTACAGGGTTTTTCTTTCCAAATCGAACATCGCAAAGGAACCGAAAATGTGGTGGCAGATGCTTTGTCTCGATCGTTCGAAGAGATTGACATCTCTGCAATAGACCTTGAAATTTATCCCGAAATTGACCTATCATCAAGCGCTTTTCAATCGGAAGAGTACTCCGCTCTCAGAGACAAATTCAAATCTCTGAAATCACCGGATTTCAAAGTCATAGATGAGTTCATCTATCATCGTGCAACGTTCCCCAATTCTTATGACGTTTCACCAGACGATTGCTGGAAACTTTTCGTTCCTGAGTCGTTGCGTCAAAGTGTAATTAGTTCGGCTCACGACCAACCAACATCTGCTCATTGTGGAATGGCCAAATGCCTAGAGCGTATCAGACGACGTTTCTATTGGCCAAACATGGTTATCAACGTTCGTGATTACATTCGAAATTGCGAAACATGCCAGACCACAAAATATCCTACCCATTCTTTAAAACCACCAATGGGAGCACAAGTGCAAAGTGAAAGGATATTCCAAAGACTTTATCTCGATTTTATAGGGCCATTTCCGCGCTCCAATTCCGGCAATATTGGAATATTGATTATTCTTGATCACTTTTCCAAATTCACCTTTCTAAAAGCAGTGAAAAAGTTTACGGCTAAAGTGGTCATCAATATATTGCGCGATGAAATATTTTCATGCTTTGGTGTACCCGAAACAGTCGTCAGTGATAACGGAACTCAATTTAAAAGCCGTGATTTCTCTGACTTCCTTTCGAAATATGGCGTTCGTCATATGTTTACTGGTGCCTATGCTCCACAATCCAACAGTGCTGAGAGAGTCAACCGTTCAATCAATGCTGCTTTAAGAGCATATATTCGCACCGACCAACGCGAATGGGACACATTTCTCAGTAGCATCAACTGCTCTCTTCGTAACTCGATTCACCAATCCATCGGTTTATCGCCTTATCATGTTGTTTTTGGTCAACACATGATATCCCACGGTCATGACTACAAACTGCTGCGTAAACTAAACCTTCTTGCAGAAGGCGAAGTAAGCCTGACAAAAACTGACGAATTCCAAAGGATTCGTTCTAACATCGGCAAACATTTGAATAAGGCTTACGAGGCAAACCAAAAGTCTTACAATCTTCGAACAAGACCCCGTTCTTTTGAGGTTGGCCAAGAAGTAGTCAAAAGGAATTTTGTACTTAGCAACGCAGCAAAGGATTTTAATGCGAAACTCGCTCCTGTAGGTATCAAGGCCCGAGTGAAGGCAAGAATTGGACAGTCAATTTACCTCTTAGAGGACATGAACGGAAAGGAACTGGGTAGATTTCATGCCAAGGATATCTGGTGATTGCTCTTGATTCCTTTTTCAGCTTTTATTGTTAATCACAGGGACTAAAAATCAAAGCTGTGGTTGTGGGAATCGAGCCAGTGTGGCAACTCGATAAGTTTTATCGCCCACATTTTTCAAACAACCGGGCTGTTAAAGTTACGATCCTGCCAAATCGCTAATATGCGATAGGACCTAAAAAAGACCACAAAAATTCGCGAACAGGATTTTTGCAAGCCACGGTCACATTGGATCCCCTCACTTCCGTTCTCTTTCTCACAAGGCGTCCCCGAGTTCGGATTAATTTTTGTCGATCCTAAATCCGCAAGCATCGTGTCGATCCGACAGTATTTGTTAAAGCGAATCATACCCATATTAAGTAAATTTAGTGCTCTAACGTATATTGGTAAGCTTGTGTGAATAATCGATCGCCGGAGTGCTAATTTTGCCTTTTCAAAACAGCGTCAGCCGTATCGGCAGAGTCGTCCAAGCGACCGGCATTGTTTTTGCCAGCAATTGCCCACCACGTGAGGTGGCAGTCATTTGTGGCATTCATCGTTGGCATTGTCTGTGGCTTCTCAGCGGGATCAACGCCACGTGTCATCGGAGCATTCGCACGCACAGCGTGGGGCTGCGCTTCCCATTTCGGCGGCCATACACGTGCCGATTGCGGTGATCCTCGATTTGGATTTTCTTTACCGCCTCGCTCACGCGCCACCGTTCCCTCACACGGCGCGCATATTGGATCGCCGTTCCCTCACACGGTGCACATATTGGATCACCGTGCGTCTTTTTCGTGGCCACATCGTTCTTTGCCACATCGCCGTGCATCTTTGCCACATCGCGTGCGCTCTGCCGCATCCACACCTTGGCGGGCTGGTCTCGTTCCGCTCACGCCTCACGCAAGGGATTGCGGCCATCCCTGTCGCACATAGTGCGTGTCATCTTCATCAGCGCGAACGACGGAAGTAGCATTACATATCCGTATTGAGAGCTGGTGGCTGATCCGGCCCACACTCTGCTCCAGGAGCGGATAAACATGAATGATAGTGTCTAAAATATAATTAATTTTGCATATAGGAGCTTTTGATTTAAGAATTCGTACTTATAAACCTTTTCGGTCGTAATTTAGCAATTTTTTTTGGGAGATTTGGCAATTATAATATCGTTTTGTCCCTCAAATAACTTAAAACACATACAGCTACACATCACCAGTCATCAGGCCTGCTGACGTCGATGGAGAAAGCGTGAGTACGGCCTAGCCGCAAAACAACAAAATAAAACTGAACCCATCCTTATAATTTCGCCAAGACTTCTGAAATAGTTTGCACATCTTAATTCATTAATTGATTTAAAAGAATATTAATAAGTTAATCTATTTAATGTAACGTAAAAAAAGGAAAAAGCGTTCTTTCTTATCTTAAATTTTATTTCCTTTCATTGGATCTAAAACAAACTGACTCAATAAGAGGTCTCGTAACGTAAATAACGTAAACTTAGGCTTAAGGATTAGATTTAGGAAAATGTCTTTCAATATTATCTCAGCCTGCAATTATATGACTTTGAAAATGAACTAATTTGATATCTTGTTGGGCACCTAAGGGGATGTAGAGCATTGGTTGTATAAGGGTGGAGCCTGAGTGGACTTCACAGGTTGGGAGGGTTTAGATTGAGGCCAATAACATCGGAGCCTCATCTTCAATAGGTACACTTCCTTCGTCTGATTCATATTATTTACCATATCCCCAGCTAGAGTATCTCTGTCTACAATATTAGTTATGTAGCACCATTGTTCATGTCAACACAAAACCCACGCCCATTTTCCCTGAGCCTGCCGAGCAGAAAAAGTAGACAGAGCGTGTTGAGGTGGACAACGCTCGGTGAGTGTGTTTGTTACAATATTTATATCATCTTTAAAAGGTTGGTTGAAAAATTTAATCACTCAAAACTAACCCCACACCATTATCCTTTGCCACATAAAAATCTTTTTCGTTTACTGTTTTGTTTACCAACATTTTCCTATATAAAATCGCCCTAATTGGAAACCATTTTTATCCACAGTTGCCGACCAGCGCCCAGTGAAAAATCAAACCCAAATCGAACAAACCACAGCGCCCAGTCCGCAGCCGGATTCGGGCTTCATAGCGCTAGTGGTTATAGCCAGTCTCAGTGGTTTTGCAGTCCTGCTATCGGTGGTGAGTTTTTGCCAATCAAGGCTGATTGAAATCAGAGTGGAAAACTTATAAATTTATCTTTTGAAACAGCTCCTGCTCCTTGGCTATCGCTACTGCAGCAAACGACGCATCAACTCGATGAACTTTGAGAATCCCATCTACCGCAAGACCACCACCACAGAGGATCACTTCAGTTTGCGCAAGAATCTGCCGGCAAGGATCTACGATCACACCAGTGTCATGGATGAGGAGGTGGGTTTTCAATATAAAATTCATTACATTAAAATTAATTTCCAATAAATTCTACTCTTATTCTCCATTTCTAGTACTCACCCGTCATTGGCATATCCTCGTATTAGTTTGATTCCTTTTTTGGCATCATCGTGTGGCATCCAAATAGGACGATTCTTTCGCTTGGTCCTTGGGAAAGATGAAAGAGAAAAGTTGACACGAGACCCGCGGCTAAAAAACAACAACAACAACACGCCTGAAGACTGAGCAACTCTGTGTATTGTGTAAATTAATTATTTTAAAATTTTAAGGCACGGCAAGGACAAGGCGGGTCACTTGGGAGGGTGCATCCTCAAAGGATGCTGTACAAAATACTATGTCACAGAGTTCTATCACAAAAAAAAAAAAAGAAAAATTAGTAACGAGAAACGTAAAACAAAAGAAGATGTTTAAGAGAAATCTAATTGCTAATTATAAATTACATAATTCCAAACTGTATATAGCTGTAAGTGTGCATTATTTTTAAATGAAGCGAATTAACTATAACTATACGTATATATGTATGACAAAAAAACAAAAAAACAAAGATCATAATTATTATGGTCTACTATTAGAGCAAGTTGAGAAATTATATTTCTGTTGACGTGAAGCAGAATCGTTTTATTATATTACCATTATTACTACATACGTATTAGCCTTTTGTTAACTCTGTATTTGTTAAGTGTACATACATATGTATATGTTTCCCAACTAAAAGATACATGATTAATAATAATAAACTCAAATATACCTATGTGTAGTGTATCTCAATGTTGAATTTTATTCCTCAAGAAGTGGTAAGTGTTTGAAGGTATTTATTTTTATTTATTTTATTTCGTTTAAAACAATCTTGACCTACTTTAAAAGATTTATGAGGTGTTAGACAAATTTGCTCTTAAATACAATTTTTTAATAAATTGTAGACATCAATTTCTCCCTTAAATACCATACTGTCTCACATCAGTAATTGCCGATAAATTCCTATAAATTCAATTGATCTATCAGCGGAATATTCAGAAGTATATCAATTAAAATTTGAATAGGCATATTATCTTAACAGCCTTCAGATCGAAGCCTTGACTTTTGACCTGCGCCAACACAAACAATTTAGACCTGTAATTTCACAAATTGCCTATGGCGGTAATTGGCCCTAGGAACAACGAGTTCGAGTAGAGGTAGAGGCCAGTAGAAGAACACACCTCCAAACCGAAATTGATTGTTACACCCAGGCCCCACTTAAGAGAGAGATCGATCAACCACCTGCTCGCTCTCTTGCCCAGCATCAGTTTCAATGTCAGCTGTGCTCTGCTCTCTCTTCACTTGGCCGTTCTCTTGCGGCGAGCCCCACTGATGACGTCGATCGGGGAGCTCCACATGTGCGCTGTCAACTAGTTGGAGCTCTCCACCACTCTCTGGCCGCCTCAGGTGAGATCCAAGATCGGCTTGTACGCGTGGCGATCATCGGTTCGTCGACAAGCGAACGCTGCCGAAAGCCACACGAAGCAAAGACCCGAACGGTGCCATTGGCTGCATTGGCGACGATATCGGCCTGGCCAGGCCGGCAGTCTTAAATCGTCGTGCGTGCCGCACTGTGGTGTCTGTGTCCGTTTCCGCCGTTCCACGCGCGTCAGTAACACCGTTAGCCGAGAAATTTTCGGTGCGCGAATAAACGTTTCGGAAAGCAAAAGTTCAAAGCAAATAAAAAAAGTTCAAGCCAAGGTTTAAAAGCCAGCTCATCAACGCATTTCTCGAGCAGCACCGAGCAAGTGTTAATTGAAAAATAATGTACGAGTCTATTTTGGCCGAACGTTACGTCAATACATCATGTGAAACGGCAGCATAAATTTCCGCACCACATGTCTGGTGTTGTTTTCTGTTAAAATATACATAATAAAATGAAAACATTAGCATATAGAAATGGTGTCGCTCCTAAGCTCACCTGGTCTTATCACACTTTACAGAGCCTGATAAGCAGCCAGCGATATTCGTGTTCCAAAAAAATACTTGGCCTAAAACAAACAGAGAGCGAGTTGGTGTGAGGGTTAACGTTAACCCTCGCTTGACCAAAGTCGTCGCCCTTAGTCTGCACTTTTGAGTGGCCTGAGTGTGTGTGTGTGTGCTTGTGTGTTTCGCGCTTCATGTTTCTCCTATGCTGTTTTCTGCAACATCGTATGATGTTTCTTTTTTTAGTCATCGCCTTTCAGCATGTTTATCGTGCATTTGCCTCGCACTCTCTTTTCGATACATTGCCAAACATATTCGGTTTATTCTGTTTCTTTTATCTTTTACGTACCTCTCTCTTTGTTATTCCTTCTGTTTCGTGAAATTTTTTGGCAAACGTTGCGTGTGTTTTCTTGGACTTATTATTTAATAAGATGGCTATATATAAACTATATAACGAATTTGGGAAATTAAATTGAAGTGAAAAGTGTGTTTGACCCACTGACTTTTAAATAATAATCCAAATAAAACAAACATTGTAAACAAAAATTATGTATTATTTAACGAAAAACCTGTGGATATTGATGTTGCCATTTATGAAACAATACCTAAATAAAAAATTTTAAAAGATAATAATCATCCCATAAAATAATATAAAATCTAAGCTCCAAAGTGAATCTTTACCATATCCTTCCAGCTTCAAGATAGCGTTTTTGTAAAATGGCAACAGCTTGCCTGTCGGAATTCACGGAACGCTTTCAATCCACACAATTCAATTCACCTGCCAATAAAAGTGATAATGATGATGAGGCGCCACCACCTCCAACGCCCAAAACCAGTGCGTTCTTCTTCAGCGCCAGCACCAACTATCACAGCAAAATACAGCAGCTGATTAGCTTCAGCTTCACCTCCTCGTTTCACCTGCTTTTCATCACCTGCATTCTGAGCATTAGCAAATTCTGCAATGCTGCAGCCATTAATGCCGCTCAGGTGTCGGCCGCCGCGCCCAGTCCCAGCGAGATAATGCAAAATCTGAGCGGATCGGGGCTGCTGGAGAAGCTGAAGGCCAGCACTTTGGGGCCACCACTCGATAGACTGAAACACTTGGCCCCGGCGGCGGCCAATAGCCTGAGTCCTCCTGGCATAGGATCCGGAATGGGCATCGGAATGGGAAACTTTGGCAACTCCATAAACTCGGTGCTCAATGGCAATCCCTTCAAGTTCCTCAACGTTTCCGGGAAAATCGGCACCTCATTGGATATATGTAAGTATTAATTCGTAGTAATTATGTATGGAAAGCTTTCCATAAGGTCAGGAGGCGTAAACATTAAAATTCCCTTGAGCTTAGTTCGAGTTCTTTTTGCGCTTTAATAGTTTATTGAATTAAAAAGTCTAATTTACGGAAATGTAATTCTTTAAAGCATCTTAAAATGAATCATTTTACAAAATGGATTTGAATACAAATTCCTACAGACTATGCATTTTGAGTCATTACAAATTTGTCAATATTTGTAACTAAGCTTTAGCCGAAGAAAAAATGCAAATGATATATAGGAAATGATAAGATAATGACTAATGGGTGGGTTGTCACTTTAAACTGTAATCTTTATTAATTGAAAAAAAAAGAAAAAGAATTACCCGTTGTCGGCTTTACGTTCTTTGATATTCCCGAGTTTCTTGGAGTGTAGGGAAGTTAAAATATTTATTGTTGTTGCCACCGCCTCTCTCATTTCTGGCGATCATGCCACCAGCACCACCAGTACACACATGTACTACTCCGATTTCCAGTCAGACTCCGATTTAAGCCAGGGCTCCCGACTCCCGATCCGAATCCGAGAAGTCTGACTATTCGGTGGCTCGACTCAAGTTTTATTTATGCGAAATTCGTTGCCAAGCAAAAGGCAAAGCCAAAGCGTCTGGCAGTGCCAGTCAACTCGGTTTCCACCTCCATTTCCATGTCCAAGCATTCCGCGACGTCATACGATTTTCAGTCTGAGCTGAGCTGCATTCCCGTAGTAACCCCTGTCTGCTGCTCCAACCCAGCTCCAGTCTTCTGTTTCTTTCGCTCTCCCAAGCAGAAACCTTTTACTTTCCTCTGCACTCGCTGCAACCGCTGGCGACACTTGAAAGAATTTTCTTAAATTGTTTTTCAGGAGTCATCGAAAGGGAACTAGGACTTTATTATTGAAATAATATTTAATAGGCTAATTTGTTATATAAGAAATTATAAAAAATTTATTTTAAAATTTATTTATTTATTATCGAAATTTTATACAGATTTTTTTAAATATTTATTTCCTAAAAAGTAAATGTCATGATCTTAGATCAAATTTTTGTTAATTCAAATTGTAGCTTACTACTTCAATATTTTCTAGAATGATTTTCCACACCTTTCATATTAAAATAAATTTTTATAAAATGCATATTTTTTTGGAAAGTGTATACTCTTTGCCTGTTCTGCTTCCCATTCGTAATTATTCCGTTTTATGCTTACTTTTTGTACCGGCCGGCGTCGTGGTCGCATGAAACGAATGGAGCGCCACTTGAAAGACTGTAACTTCGGTGGCGGCTCTTGTGAAACTCGCAGAGAAAACCAGAGAGATAGTAATACGAAGAGGGAGAAAAAGACTGAAGAAAAAAAGGGGAAAAGAGAACGAAAAGAGCAACAAGTGTCCGATTCTTGGAGTCCCGCCCTTGCACATTGGTCAGAGAAATCCAGGAATATGACTCCAGCACGTGGCAGATAAACATTTACAATTAAAATGAACTGGAAATAGCACTATTTATGTATTAGAATTTGATATACTTCAATAACTTCGTTTAAAAGAATTCTTTTGTGCCAATAAAATTAACAATTTCTGTACAAACTATTAAAAAATAAAAGTCATATTCTATAGTGAATAATGGATTGTTTTTAAAAGTATATTTAATACTTTAAAAAAATATATATAAATATCTGAACAATAAATTTGTCATTAAGAAAAGAGTCCCAACTCCGATTGGTTATTTAAATTTGTAAAAACTCTTTTAATTCCTTCAAATTTATTACTTGTTAGTAATCAAAAACAACTCTTAGTAAAAAATAAAAGAACAAATAGTAAGGAAGTCATAAGTAAACTTATTTTGATGTTATTACTTAATTATTCAAGAATATTTCTTCTATACTTCCACATAAATTAAGCAATAACAATCAATACTAACTTCTCATAAAAATATAACCAAAAGAAACATCAAATAGAATGATGAATTAGGAAGTATTTAGCATAAATTTAAAAATTCAGTAGGGGACTCACCAAACGGTAGACCCTAAGCAAAGTTTTGAAATTTGAATGAAACCTTCAACTTGGCAAAAAAAAAAAATATCTGACTTTAAGCGTTGTGAGTTAATGCCAACGAATGTCAAAGTTATAAACAAAATGAATAACGCTGGGTCATGATAATAACCAAAACTTAAAGGTTAAAAGCTGATGATGAAGTAAAGTGGCGCAGCACTTAACTGGCACACCGTTAGATAAATTGCTATAAAAGTGGTAGTATAAATAGGCCAAATCTATTGATAACCAAATATAAATGCATTTTCGCTGTAAATCCAACCATTTTCCCCTCTAATCAAACTTCAATAATAGCTGAAAAAGCTCTGTTGGCAAATAAATTTGTTAGACAGGTTTCAATAGGGGGAAATAATAAGGGTCACAGATACTGAGACAATAGTATTTGGCAACAATTATTTCCGCCCAGCTAAATATAGAGACAGCTAAATCGAAGGAAGGCGAAATTGACAACTCTCATCCGGAGTCCTTGACAGCTTTAATGGCTGTCTTCATCTCCGAACCGACTTCCCTATCGTTCGTGAAGGAACATTCATTCCCACGAGGAAGTCTGTGTTGATTTATTTCCAAATCGAACTGAAACAAGTTTCCACAGCTTCTGTAAAAACTGTCAGAGCATCTCGGCAGGCTCTCCCGGCTTGGTCCGGATTTTTATAATTAACTTGGCTAATTATGCCTGGCATTTGCACGTGCTCTGGATGCAACTGTCGTTCGTCCCTGATGCAAACTTCGTCGGTCCCTGGCTCTGGCTCTGGCTCTGGACGCTGTTGCATTTTAGCCGACTGCCTTAATTACAAAGGCATTTGCCATTATGTATAATTATGCCGCACAGAAGAAACGCTTTTTGTGTGTTGAGTCTTTATTTTTTTGTAAAACTGGTTTCCTACCCGCACTTTTTAATGGAAGCCAACTAAGTGTGTACTGCAATTGTTCGTGTTCAAGTGACAAATTTCATAAGCGAGGCATGCAAAACACAATCAAGCGGAGGAAGGGAGGCTGTAGGCTGTTAACGGCTCGCTGTTAACTGTATCTCAATGCTGGCCTAATGAGTGCTGGCCAGTCAACGAGGTGTGATGGTCAACCTAGTGTACCTTTTTGTTAACCTTCGATTTTTTTCCCCCACTCGTAGCTCTGTTTCCCTAGAATTTCTATGTATTTTCATTTGCCTTTTCTATTTCGGGTTTCAATTAAAATATTACGCATACGCAGCGCTGCACGCTGGCAGCAGTTGGCCGAGCCAAAATTCAATTACAAGGCAAAATAAAAAAAAAAAAGTGGCGTGATGTTCGCTAGCAAATTAGACATGCGCACAACAGTTGAAAAAATTCCCACCAAGAGCCTAATAGAGATTCCGAATGCATTAGAAATTCCTAAGGAGAGGGCGAGAGCTGTGGCGCTATAATAGACCCATAACAATCACAACAAACATGCAATGACGTTGGCGATTTCTCAAAAACAATTCAGGAACATCATTCATTATTCGCCGGATAATACTGAGTCACAGTGCCGCCCATACAGCCGCAAACAGATGTGTGACTAATTGATGTTATTGTTAATAATGTTATTTTAGGCGTTTGTTGCTGGTTTTGCTCAAGCTATGACGTTACCGATCAGGCCACCTTTTTTCCCAATAAACAGAAACACAAACAATAACAACATACTCTCGTATCGAAGCATGTCAAACACACTTGTATCTCTTTAGTTGACACATTTAAGAGCAACTTAAGTATTTTCTCTTACGTTTTTCATCTTAAAAGAGTTAAAAAACAAAGGTTTTAATGGGTTCAAAAGTGACGATTCCCAAAAGTTAGGGCCAACTGTACGGTGGTCTTATATCCAAAGCACAATGTTCAACTGCTTATACAATTATTTGTTGATTATTCTTTATCATAATTGCAAGGTACCCACTTTTATCAAGGCAAATGTTATCTTGATAGCAATGGAAAAATCACACGAAATTATTTTTTATGTTAAGATAAATAATTTGGTGGGAAAAAATGTATACTAAAGTTAGAAATTAAAGTAATTTGTAGTTTCCCTACTTATTCCCAGTCTAAACACCTGACCAAGTCTAATACTTTTCTGTTAGTCATGCTTAACTATCAAATTTATAAAAGGTATCTAACGTTATTATGACATATACAGTCATTAGATAAGATAAATAATAAATATTTTATTTATTTAAAAGGCATTTCATATCTATAAAAATATATATTTATAGGAAATAACAAGGAACTTAGATAAAATTTTATACTAATACATTTTTAGATCCAGTTTACTATAGAATTTATTAATATATTAATTTATTATTATATTAATTTTAGTTATTTAGCTTACCTAAAAATTCTACAACTTTTTGTGTGCTACTCATGCGCAATAATAAAATTTATAACCACTACAAACTACGTAACTACGACTTACTCATGAGATAAGAAAACTATATTAATCTTCCGCCTAATTCGGAAATCAATTTATGACTCAATTGAAATCTATTCTGGCTATAAAAATGAGCCCTTGAAAAAAAGAATATAAACATTACGTAGCTATAATAAGGCCTGCAAAATCGTAGTATTCCTAGATAGTAGATTCCAGTTTAGCGTTATCTAGAGTGCTTAGCAGGCGTTTTTAGATAAGGTTCACAGAAGGGCCAAGAAATACGTAAAAAATAACATTAACTACGAAATTACTATAGAAATTATAAAAGGTTTACATCCACAAAGTAAAAATAGTTTGGTTAAATTTTATTTTCTTAGAAAAGTTAAGTTAGTTCCAAACTTTGTTAAACTTAACAATCTTCATGTTAATGTCAAAAATAAACAAAGTATACCATAATATACCTAATAAACCTTAAAGTTCTCTCAAAAAAATGTTAACGTAATAAACTAAAGATCATCTAGCAACCCTTAATTACGTAACTGAACCTTGCCCATCCCTAATTAAATTTAACTAGTCTGTAAATACTTTATGGTCAAAACAGAAATGATTAAATGGTTTAAACCAATGCGTAACATTCTTATCAATACAACACGTACACCACGAACGCCTGATAGGGGCAAAGTACCCGCTATCAGTGCGTTTGGGTTTCCTATTCGTTTTCTTTTATCTAAATGAACTGGAAATATGCTGGCTAATTTGCGTAATTCTGTGTTGTTATTGCAATGTTGTACTAGTAGTTGACTGACCACAGGCGGATCGGAGATTAATCACCAACTATTAATAGGATTGCAGACGTAATCAAATCGGGGCGTAAGGCTAAGGAACAGACAACAAACAACATCGACAGCAACCTTTCGGGCTATTAATAAAGCATTTATATTGATTTGAACTCTGATTGACTTTTGCGCTGATTTCTGTTTATTATTTCGCCCTCTTGGCCAACCAAGACGGCCCTCCTGTCACGCCCTTTGCTGTCATTGAATTAATGGTGCGAAATTTTCATGTGAAATACTCTGTTGGTCAGCAGCAGCCCAGCGCTTTCTTCTCAGTGATTGTGTGATTGATTCTTTGGGCGAGAGCGAGGAATAAAAGAATAAGGCGAAAGTAAAGCTGTTCAATGAACTCCGCATTAAGCATTTAATTGGCCCGTAGCCCGTTGCCTCGTAGCCTCTTCTGTTCTGTTCGGCATTTGTGATTCTGTCAATCAAATTGGCGGCTATGACCGTTTGTGGCTGTCGTTGTTCCATCTGACCACGCCACGAATTATTTTCCCACTGATTTAATTTTTATTAAATATATATCACAACGAAAACAGGCTGAATTGTCGTGGAAATGAATGTTTGTAAAGGAAATTGATATTTTCTTCTCCACGAATGAATGAATCCTATTAAATTTCAAACAGGAAATATATGGTATAAATAAACTAGGAGAGCTTAAAAATAAACCAAATTTTCTTGGAATTTTTTTACAAGTAAAAAGCAATCTAAACGTGTCAGGCTTCTTTGAACAGATTAATATTTTCATTAAAAAGTATCTACATTTTTTCCATTTTTCTTCCGTACTTAAAGCCATACAATTTCGTTTAATTTAATTTCCTTTATAACATTTTCTATATAAACTTTATTAAGCTACCAATAATGAAATTATCCAATAACCCAATTATAGTAAACTGTTAAATGTATCTTTAGGCCTTCAAGAAAATCTCCAAATGCACGTTTCATCAATTATTTTTTATAGTTAGCTTAACGGATGCCCAATTCCAATGGCATTTCCGATTCGGCCTGCATATGAAAATCGTCAGCGTATATTTAAGATATACAAAAGGATACCACACCTTTGAGAATTAAAATAAATATGAAAGCGATAGCACTTTTGTGTGATAGCACTCTGCACGTGTCCATTAACCAATTGCCGTAAAAAAAAAAGACAGAAAATTGCTCTGCAAGCGCAAATAAATTGCATGCTAAAGTAAATGGAATAAATTTCCTTTTTAGAATTCTTGACGTACATCTGGACTAATCCAAATGCTGCCAAATGGATCGGATGCGGAATTTTCTTTTAATATTTATTTCAATTAAGCTACTAAACGACTCACTTAAAATGCAAATTGCATTGCACATTTACATACAGATTTGTCTACAAAAGCAATTGCAATTTCCAAAGCTCCAAACAATTTCACACACATATACACACCATGGCATTCGTACGAGCAAACAAAACTCTTTTCATAAATTCAAAATATGTGCGCACATTTTTAATAATTTACGGCGACTAATAAAAAATTTCCAGCTCATACACACACAGAAGAATGAAAAGAGCAAAAGCGCCCAGAAAGGGAAAAAGACAAATAACAAAAAAAAATGGCGGGAAAATGCAGAAGCAGGGAATATATTTGGGTAAATAAATACACATGCATGCATAAAAGGCATGCAGAGTGCAAAGGCGCAGCGCGCGAAGCCAAAAGACAATAAAGGGTTGCAAAGGGGGATTATTTTCCTTGCATTCGCCGAATTTCCCATATTACACACGCACAACAAACATCAACTTGGATCTGTGTGTATGCCATATGTGTTTGGCTGTGGACGTGTGTGCGTGTTAAGGGTATTGCCTGACATTTCTGATTTTGTAATTAAATGCGTAAGCGTGGGAAAAGAGTGGACCAGTAACGGAAATTGGAACCTAACTACTTTCTATAATATTTCTCACTTACTTAAACCTATTTAATTTTTACATACTTTACTACTTTCTGAGTTACTAGTTAATCATTCAAAGTTTAGGGTTTATAGAGGGTTTGCTGGTTTATAGGCCCTTAAAGCACGTACAATAGCCCTCAAAGTTGTTAAACTAAGTCTATAATTAGCCCTTTTAGTTATTAAAACTAATTTTTGAAAGATTCCTATGACACGTGCCAAATATTAGCTATTTAAGTGACAGCAGTTCAACAGGTCGTATGAGTTATATTCATTGTAAAACTCGCGTAATACGTATACGTAAACTTACCAAATTGCGTTTTAACTTAAAAAACTTAAAACTCTTAAGCTTAAGCAAACGAGTAACAGTAGAATTTATTTTTTTTTTTAATTATACAAAGTAAAATAGAAAAAATGTTCTGTCTATTTTAAATGTTAAAATGAGAATCCCCATTATATTTATTCAATTAAATTCAGAAATAATGAATATAAATTTAAATATATTGTCTAAGCAGCTATGGTCCACTCTGGACGTCATGCGTGATTGTGATGGTGCCTAAGCAATTGTCAATTTGTGTTAAATGCGCGCAATTAAACGGTAAATGGCACACGAATAGACACAGTCACAGATACAGGCTCAGTCACACACGCGGAGTAGAGACCAAACTTGCGACACTTTAGGCATAATGGCGGCACATTAACCCAAGTCAGTTAAGGCTTTAGCATATATGCTAATTGAGCATACGATAAACACTGAAAATAAAAGACAGATTAGGTCGACCGAGTGAAATGTCAAGTTGCCCGTAAAGCGATTGATGAGGCAATCCAATCCAATGCCAATGCCAAGCTCAGCACTTTCCAACTAGCTGCCATCAAATTCTCGCTTATTAATTTCCGGAAACTTTTCCCTCTGCCTTTTCAGTCTTTTGGGTCCTTTTGCGGTCCACCACCAGCACCACAAAGACAAACACCCATTCCAACACATTTTAGGCTCCTATATATACTGTATAGATAGAGACATGTGTAAGCTCGCCGCCCTTCGGCTGGATTTCATTATTTACAAGTTTTTGTTTATTGTCAAGTCTCGGCTTTCATTAAAAAGGGTTTTAAGGCTTGTCAACAGACGCCTTCATTGCCATCTCCGCCCAGATCCTGCCGCCCTCCTTCGTCTCAGTGTGTGCTTAACGAGCCAAAGTTTTCAACTTAAATTTTAGTTATGAATTTTATTAGGCCCACCCGGGGGAACGACCACCGACTCCGCTCGTGTTTAATTATAGTCTGCGGCTAACCCGAGGATTCCAACTTAATTAATTAATATGCATTTGATTCCTGCAGCGACCAGCCTTTCCAACTCGTGCGAGGAGAAGCAGTTCCAGTGCTCCAACGGCGACTGTATCCCCATACGGTTCGTGTGCGACGGCCACTCGGATTGCCGGGACCATAGCGACGAGCGACTGGAGGAGTGCAAGTTCATAGGTGAGTACACTTTACGAAAAAAATAGGAAAGTTATATTGTTTATTAAAGTAGTAAATATAATTTTTACTTAAGAGGATGGTGGCTGCAAGATATATTTATTAAACGTAGAAGATTGAACAAAAACTTACCAGAAACCTTTATTTTGTATATAATTGAAAAGTTATTCAAAGGTTTTTCTACTGACTTAGAGATCCTCTTGTAGCTTCCTCCACTTGTACCAATAAATAAAGCGAAATTTCCAAGCTCTGCTCTGGCTTCTCAAGGCTCTTCCTTCCCAATTCCCATTTTTTTTCAATTTTTATCTTTCCGACTTTGATTAGGCCTTCAGTTCAACTGTTGTCTTATTCAAATACACTCGAAAGGTTGCACAAAAACCTCACACTTGAAGGAAATCAACAGCAACAGCCACAGAATGTATTTTCAGGACTCCTTTTTTGTAGCTGTATATTTACAGAAGCCTTTTAAAGGAAACTTTTGCTAGCGTCAATTTTTTTTCTACTCCCTACTGCTGCTGGTGTTGTTTTTTATTTATTTTTTTCTTGTGTACAAGTGTGTGTGTGTGTGTGTGGTGGCCATGGCCAGGAGCTGGGGATCTACAAAGTCAAGCGCTGGCTACAGAATTGAGTTTGGTATTGGGATTTACGGCAGAGGCAGGACGAAGCCAGAACCCAGCTGTTGCCTGCGAGAACTACTACGTGCGCTCCCGCTCTAATCTGTTGTCAGTCATTTGTAGTTTTTCAATTTGGAAATGTCACAGAACTAACCATTTACTTGGTCGCTCGGCCAAAGCCCTCTGCGTGTGCTGTTTGCTTTCGTATTGGTTTTGGTGTTTCTGCCATTCGTTTGGCTTCGCTGTTGGGTAAGTAACAACTGGCTGTTTATTTAGTGTCATGTAGGCAGGACTCGAAATTCACAAAATACCCGCACTCGGCACCCCGCACTCCGCACTCCAACTGAATTTATTTTCGTTAAATTTGTAAATTCCCTCTATTTCTTTTATTAGGCTCTGCATTTAATTTAAGTTCGGTTAGCAGACCAGTCTGTTTCCAAACACGGTTCGTTGAGCTCGTTGGCCAGGCTTTTCCGAGCATTCAACGTTGCCTACTTTCAGGCAGCAGTGCTTAAAACACTGCCAGCCGTAAATATTGGACATGTTGTGGCGGCTGTTAAGTCTTTAAGCACAGCACCGAGCTGAGCTACAATTATATACATATAGTATATACATATATATATAGTATGAGATAGAGGGACTTAGGTTGAGCACTGCCTGGCACTAGTGATTTACCAAGACCCAGGGCAAGTGGAGTAAAGTCTTTTTCGGGGGCACTGCAAGCAAGTCAAGTGCAATCCAACTAAGCCATTGCATCATGCTAACCTAGACTTGGCTTGGACCATAGATAAACTGGTTCGAAAGTGCTCAAAACTGATTGGCTTTAAACGCTCAAAGAGCCAAAGCTCGATGAAACTTTATTGGATTACAATTTAAACAAAACACTTTGTGTGCCACTGGTTGTACTACAATCAATATTAAATTGGAATAAGAAAACCCACTTGGTCTAGGAAAAGGCTTTTCACTAATAAATAAATTAAAGAAAATATATATATGGTATATATATATTAAAAACTTGTTTTTAGTATTTTTATTGTAACTAAATTGGTTAAATTGCTCTGAATATTTGTTATTGTTTATTTGTCTCATTTAGAAATAAAACAACCCAACTACAAACCATTATTTTTAGCTAAGTGTTGATAAGATGTTTTTCGGCGAATAAAATCACACTTATTTTTATTTAATTTAATTTATTTTGATTAAATGTCAGCCACCTAGACCTTGAATCAGCAAGTAGCTTATTTAGCGAATATATATATTTCCTGTTCTACATTTTAAATATTTTCAACTGAATTTATACTATACTTACTACACTTTCAGGAATCACGTTTAATTAAAATTGATTGCATTTTTGCAAAATAAACATTTTCTTAACTTTTTATATAAACATATTTAAAAAAGCTAACGTTGGCGGATATTGTCGGGGTTTTTCGTTTTTTCGCACTTAAACTTTGCTCTAATCTGAAGCTTAAAATTGCGCCTCAAAAAGCGGATTGAGTACAGCTAGACCATGAGCCTGGTTCTACATAATTAAAATTCGTCTGCCCACAATGAGGAAATGCGGTTCAAACTTGACCCACAATCGAGATGAAAACGAGAACTAAGACCGAAGCAGATTAAGCCGGATCTCTAAAAGAAAAAAATGTATATATATACTTAGTTTATAGGGTCTTATCAGCGCCCGTCAAGTCAAGCAAGGCGTCGCCTCCGATTAATTAGACGCCACTTATAGCACTTGAGATTATTTATAATAGGCTGTTCTATTGACAAGAGGGTCAGGGGGATTTCATGTTTTGTTTTTCCCATTTTTAGTTGTTTTGACAAATCGTCGACTAATTGCGCACAAATTGTAGACCTCAATTGGAAGGATATCGGTAGGATTTTAAATGAGTCAAAGCCGAGTCAATGAGCAGCTTTACAACTAAAACTCAAACTCAAATTCAAACTCAAATTCAAACTCAAAGTGAGTGAGTTTTGAGTGCGCACGCCGGGAACTCTTATCAGTCCAGCAGCAAAGCTTCTGTGTGTGTTGGAGTCTGCCAAGCGGGGATGGCACCACATCTCGCCAGATGAAACGAGGACCAAACTCTGATTTCAGTCTGCGTCGAGCTCTGCAAAGCAACGGACGTGTATGCCAGGATAACGGAGAACTCAGGACTCCGAGGCGGCAAAAAATAAATAATTTCGTACAGAAATCAAATTGTGAGAAGTGTTTAAATACAAAGTGGTTTTACAAAATGTTTTTATAAAGAGTTGTAAACATCAAATTTGTAAAAATATAAAACAAATATTTTATAGATTGTTTAACAAAAATTTATAAAATATTTTTTCTAAAAAAGAGTAACTCGAACAGCTGTTATCGGCCAGCAAAAATCAATGGCAAGGCCAAATTGGGCCGTCAAACGTTGGCAGACGAACTAAAAACACTTTGCTGGCGTCGCTTTGGCGGTAACATCAAAAGGCAGCAGCGGCAGCAGCTTTTCCCTTAAAAACGGAAGCTTTCCACTGCCTGAGTGTGTCTGTATGTGTGTGCATGTTTTCCTTTTTCCGCTTTTTGTGTTTTTTTTTCACGCTTCTGCGCGCCACTTTTTATTACATTTTCATTTAGCTCTTTCGACGCTCTTACAAACGCTCTTACAGCCGCTAAGATAATTTGGTTGAGATTTAGCAAACATTAGGCCTTTGTTTTGAATCGGATTACTGAACTTGACACCAAAAGCAAACCAAGGATACAATTCTGAATTTTAAATTGCATTAAAAATCCCTTTTAATATTCACACTTTTCCCTTGCTCGCTTTGTTGCAGTTTAATCCGTCATAATTGTTATTTATATATTTTTATTATATTTCATTTAAAATTCCCTCGCGTGTGAAAATTTGTGAGCGTCATAATTCCCGTTGACATGTCAAAGTGCAAAATTGCAATTAAATGTAAACACTCAACGACGGCTTAACTCTCAACTCCCTTGAAAAATAATTGTCCATGTCCGAGGATTATGTGAAGTTGTGATAATACGAGAAAGCGCATTAATAATTATTCAAAATAAAAAAATCACACTGGCAGGCATTGAAAAAGTGGCTTAATTAAAGCATAAAATGTGGGAAATTGTGAAAACGTGAGAAACAAAGAAATATCTCAATATGCAGTGCAAACAAGGAAGGCAATAAATAAAATATAATTAAGTATTTAAAAATATATTATTGCCAGCTTATAAAGAAAAACACATAATGTTCAATGGCTTGGAAGGCTACAAAAAAATATTGTTTAAATTTAAAAAACCAAATAGTTTTATAAAAAAATGCAGTTCAAAGAAATTAAAACTATATTCAATTGCACAAATTAACTCAAACACACAAATGCTGGCTTAACAAAATTCCTGAATTGAATTATAGTGAAATTAACCATTAATAAATAATATATCCTGTACATAAATTCAATTTAAACGCTTGAAATAAAAATCACAACGATGAAACACCAATTAAACTGACATTTTTCCGGACATAAATTTTCATATTGTTTATAAGCGGGAAAACTGTTGCCTACTTTTGAGTTACTGCCACTGCTGCAGGCCGTGATGATGACGTTTCCGGCTGCCATTTTTGCTGCTGGCCGACAGACCAACCACTTGACTGCCATTTAAAATAATTATGATTACATACTCGCAGTGCAAACATTCGCGCGACAGCAACAAACCCGAATAAACAGCAGTTTAATTTAATAATTCAGCCAAGCACTTTGGCCAGAACATTATCACCTACGCCCGCCGAGTGTCAGAGTTTCGAAGAACCGACATGGGACCAATACGCAGCAGCATCCTGGGCTGCTGCTCCTTCCTGCTACTCGTCACAGGATTAGTGCCGCTACAGGCTGCCGGTGGCACCTTTCTCCGTTTAGGACAGGGAATAATGGGTGAGTGGGCGTGGGCGTGGGCCTGGGCTGATAATTCCAAGCAAATCAGATTAGTAACAAGATGATGATAAGAAAGCCGCTTATTACCTTTTATTTAGCTAGATGCGATTTATTTTCATTTATAAAAGTATAAATATATACAAGTTCAAGCTTAATTTGTAATGATTTTAATTTATGAATATTTCTTTGTATTAATAAAAATCCAAATTCAACTTCCAGTTAGTTCCAGTTTGAAATATATATCTCTGTTTTTGTGTTATTTGTATACTTATCACGTCACCCAGTGACTCTTAAATAATTTGTATCGCATTTACATTCCATTCAAGTTCAAGGACTACTAAAAAAAATGCAGCCTCTCTTCGAGATAAGCCTTCATTTCTTAATGGTTAATTCCCTGATATTATTCACTGGGAAATATATACTTAATTATAGCTTTTTTTGCTGCCATTATCAATTAGCAGGCTTGACATTTTTCAGTAT